TGCTTGTTAATAATTTACCTCGTTATAGAAATTATTCATACGTAGAGCATGCTCTTGCGTATCGAATCAACTGAGATATATGAACTCCGCTCCGTATGCAGGTGATGAAACTATATTGTCTGCATAGGTTAGGGAAGTTGACGATAGAAAAGTTAAAGTCATCACATTTATATAGCTTGGTTGTTAGATTACCACTAACGTTTTTTTTTTTTCAAGTAAAATATCCAAGTATGAAACAGATGTGTCAGACTCTGTGGTATCTTTTATCTCAAGCTCACCAGGATATATCGTACCGAAGTGGGAATGGAATGACCATTGTTTATTGACAATATGTCGTCGATATATCTAAATGTCAAGTTGAAGGTCACAGCAAGTGTTTTCTTCTTTTCACGCGATAGATTTTGAACAAATCCTGTTTCATATGAATATAAAAATGAAAATAAAATTGTTTATGTTATACATACGCATTTACTTGGACAATTTTATTCAGGAAATCTAAGAACCCTTGGATTTATGCATTAAGAATATGCTTGATACGTGTGGTTTTTGAAATGTATGGCATGAAAAGGCCTTTTTGAAATAATAAATGGCTAAAAATTATTGTTGAATAAAGTCATAAAGATCAGTACATATAGCAATGGCAAAGTGATATGCGCGATTCGTTTATTATTGGTCATATGTAAAGGCAAGCATCTTTAAAACTGAATTTGAAAAAAAAAAATTACACTTTCTACCTAAAGAATCGAAGAATGTTTTTTGAAATTAAGAACAGCAAATCATCCTCTCCCAGTTGAGATTGGGAGATGGTTTGGAATTCCCTAAAATGATATATTTTTTAATATGTGTTATAATGGACAAAAACAGATGACTATCACTATATTTTACAATGTTTTTTTTTTTTTCAGAGTGAAAATAGTATACATGTACACCCAATTTATACTGTAAACCACTATTTTTTTTTAATTCCCGGAATTGTTGTCAACTGCTGACTCTATGAAGGTATTAAACAATTCAGCTACATAAATAGAGTATATGAACAAGTCTATCCTCTATAATAATATTTGGTGGTACCTTTATAATTTGAATGTATTTCCGCTACATTGTATTTCATGTAAATCGTGTATATTTGTTTTGTATATATTGTACATAGAACCTCATATTTCCACCATAGCCAGTCCTCCCCCCTCGGAAATTGAATTCTAGAGTAAAATTTTCCCTGAGGGGAAATCGCAAACCAGAACCAAAATCCCCCATATTTCTTTCTCAGAGTAGAATTTCTCCCTTGTTATAAAGTCAATCTAAACCACAGACACAATATTTTTTATGAAAAAAAGATAAACGACAAACTTGATATTTAAAAGGTAAATGAATGTTTTATCGTTTAAGATCAGAAGACACCTAACTCAAATTTATGTCCTGTTTCTCTTGGTATTACATAAAAAATATTTATATTTGTCATTCTCTTCTGGTTTTACATTTTTAAAAAAAAAATGTTTTTAGATATAAGTACACCCAAAATTGTGATATAGGGCATTCAAGAGATTACCCATTAGGGTTATATAAAGAATATGACCCTGTGGTATCTTGTCCAAATGCCTGGTAAGGTACTCTAATTTATTATGAGGAAACTTATTTAAGTACCTTTACTTCAATGACAAATTCTTAGGAAAAATTATATAATTTTCAGTAATGTGTCGTATGACCTTAATGTTGTAAGAATTTTCTATATTTCAAATCATGGAATCTTAGCCTAAATATACCTGGAGGCATTCAAAAGAAATGTAAATATTCTCAAAATATGATGAAACAAAAAAAATGGATGTCTGGATTGGTATATATTTTTGGACCTATTTCTGTTGTAAATGATACAGTAAACTTTCTAAAACATTAAGAAATTGTAAACTTACTAAATGTACATGTATGGTGTTCAAAATCCCACCTTCCTGTAACCATCCTTTAAATTTACACATTTTTTTCTTTGAGTCCTCATTGTGGCCCCATCCAACCCCTTGGGATCATGATTTGAACAATTTTGAATCTACACTATCCCAGGATGCTTCCACATAAGTTTCAGCTTTCCTGGCCCAATGGTTCTTAAAACATTAAGAAATTGTAAACTTACTACATGTATGGTGTTCAAAATCCTACCTTCCTGTAGCCATCCTTATAAATCTACACTTTTTTGGGTTAAATTTTAAAAATCTCCTTAGATCCCATTATTGTGAAACTTTTAATGACAAATTATGAGTCAGTAATTATTTTCAGAATATTTGACAAAAGTTTGTATCATCTGTCATTAAAACAATTAAACAATGTTCTTTTTTCAGTTTGAACGAAAAAGTATGAGTATGGAATGAAAATTACAAAAGTTTTAAATCGATATTTAATTAATAATTATTATTCTAACATTTGATATATGGCTAAAATTTTATCTAGCACTTAGGTTAAGCTATAAAAACAAGCATTTTGAGAGTATTGCATAAGCAGTACATGTCCCCTACCGGGTTCCCCATTTTCTTCAAGATGTCATTTTTTAATATGCAAAAGTTATGACCAAGGTAAAAGTGCTTGATTTTGAGCTTGTGAATTTAGCGCAGCAGGAATCCGATCTTAAACCTTTATGGAAAATTAAAAATGCCATAATTCTGTCAGAAATCAATGAAGCGATACAAAATTCAAACTTGATCTGTAACTCATCAAGATACACTCACATAGCAAAATTCAGTTTAATATCCACAAGCGTTTAGAAAAAAGTGCAGAAAACCAAGTAGGACAGACTGACGGACAGACGGACAGACGCAGAGGAAACCTACAGTCCCCTCCGGTTTCATGAAAGGCTAACTTTAAAACAGAGCATGTTTCAGAAAACTTAAAATATTTATCATCAAAAAGATATGTACTGAAAACGATTTACATTCAGTAAAAAAATTAAAAGAAAATCTAGGTAAATAAATGCATTTTCTTTTAAGTTCGAGTCTTGATTGCAAGATTATTTTTCATAAATAACAAGGTTAATATTAAACGTTGTCGTTCTGTACGGGATATACATGCAATGAAGTGCTGAATTGTCTAGAAATAATCTTTACAAGAAGGAGGACTGAATGTAATTTCATCGTTCTTTTTTTATTTGTCTGAGATTCATATAATACTCCTTACAAACATTGACACGTTGCTGGTTCCAGCAATTGCACCTTATCTTTATCCTTACAAAACTATCATTGCTGTTAAGGAGACACTTCAGTCGAACTCTGCTACAGCATATTCTAGATGTGGTGTAAATCATATGTAGATTCTCAAACCTCTAAGGAACTTTTAACAACTTTAAAATCAGTACGTACATATTTTCTACTTTTCATACAACTCCTCGTTACAAATTAAAATCTAGACCTTTTGATATCATAGACAAATGCTTTTTCAATAAAAACAGAACTGGGACATTCTCACATCTTGTGATTATTCATCAACAAAATTACTCTTCGTTAAAAACCATTCTGACTGGAAACTCTTCGGATGATACCGTATTAATCGAGTTCCGGTCCCGTGTCGCAGGAGGTGCTCGTATGAAAAAGATCCCTCCCTGCTCAATGGCCCTAAGTGCCGAGTATAGGACAAAATTTGTAGCTCTCCATCGGAAAGTGTTGGCGTCTCTATATGAGTGAAAAATTCTCGAGAGGGACGTTAAACAATATACAATCAATCAATCACTTGATCAACATATAAGGTTGGAAAGGCGACAGGGGGAGTGTCACTGAATTATATCATTGGTGATGAGGGGAAAATTGAAATTGTTTTTAGTTTCCAAATTGAGGAACTACATATAAATAGACTATTTTTAAGCTAATAAATTATCAGTAAATCATATTTCTGTGTTTACTATTATTTAGTATAGAAATGGTTTTTTAAAGAATATTTTTCTTTATTTTTTCTGTGTATAACATATTATTTACGTATATTTGCTGTTGTTGAACTGTTACCTGTCTTAGGGTCAGTGTGGCATAAGGAGGTACGTCTTTCACTGCAGGGTAAAGGTATAGGTTCATAAGCCCTTGATTGGTAGCGAATCCCGATACATACTGTCCCATTCTGCAAGGCGCTGTTGACTGTCCAAAAAGGTGAATATTTATTTAGATGAAAGTCAGTTGATAATGAATTCATTCTTCTATTTAACCCTCATCACTTATTATTTCAGATTAAAATCCAAGGTAATAGGAACACTTAGTTCACAAATAATACACCAATCTCTCATATGTGTACAATTGCAAAGTATATTTCTTAGCAGAATGTAAATGAGATTATGTAAAAGTTCCATTGACATTCATTCAGGGGTTCAGGAGGAGTTGCATTGACATGGATGCCCCCTTTATCACATAAAATGATAAGAACTACGACATAGAAATTGGTCCGTATAAATCGACATCTCATGTCGCAGGTGATGGCGTTAAAAAAAGGCCCGCGTCCCGGGTCTAAATTTACAGGAAAGTAGTGGTGTTTCGATATTAATTCTCAGAAGGACATTATACAACTACATTAACAAAAAAAATGAAAAGAAATGAGAAACACCTATTTTCAACAATTTAAATGATCTCTGGGTGATAAACTTAATTCTATGTTTTTGTACATAGTTTCAGAAATTAAAAAAAATGTTACAATGATAAATTATTTGTAAAATTTAAAAAAGTGAAAACTGATGATAATAAACTTATACTCAAGACAGTGTCACTATTTTCTATACAGGAACTTACTTTAAGAAGGCTCAACATAATCCTAAGTGAAAAAAAAAGTTTTTTGTTGTGGCTTTCATTTCGCCATACAGATACGAGGGATGTTCAATAAATAATGTAATGGGGGCTCGGAAAGAAACACAAAACGTCTGTCTATAATTTAGTCCTCATGATTTAACTAAAATATTCTCTTTGAATTAAAACGCATGTCCGTAAAATTTTTATTCAATTTCTAATTGTTTTTAGAACACATTTTTGAGCATGACCCTTCGTATACTGAAATATGGCAGATCTTATGATTTGCTTTACTTGTTTTTTTTCTCTTTCTTGTAGGTGTTTTTTTAAAGTTTGGGAAATGAAACAAGTCAAAGGTTGAAAGATCTGGCAAATTTTGTTGATGTGTGACAAAACATAAACCTTCTGTTTATCCCCAAAACTCATTTACTCTTCATGGCCTGTTGGTTTGGACGCTGTCATGAAGAAATTTGATGTAGTGGATTCCTCATTCTGTTTCCTTCCTCTCGTAAACCTTATTTTTTTTGCAAAAAAATTGTTTTATAGACTCCTCCGGAAATTGAACTTCCTCCCCCAATATGAATTTGAACATCAAGACGGCTAATTTTTAAGAAAACAGCATATAAAACTGTTCTTGTGCTCTTGCAAGTCTTTGCTATTCTTAGGCCTTGTATTTTTGTCAAGTGCATCTTATTGTAAATTTGTTTTGAGGGTTTAAAGCAAAATGGATTCAAGTTCCATCATCTGCTTGAATTTCAAACAAACGTGGATAAGTACAGTTTTTGATTTTTTTAAATAATTGTTTAGATATTCCTACACGCTGTCGTTTTCACTCATTTTTCAAAATATAGGGTGACCTTTGAGTATTTAACTTTTTTAACTATGAAATGTTTCTTTAAAACAGTGTGATCTACCCCAAAATGATGTCTATCAATTTTGCTATGTGTCAAGTCAATAAAACATAATCAGTGATAATTTGTTGATTTTCGCAAATATACTTTGGTTGTTGTATGTCCTTGTTGCGAAGGACGGTACCTAGTTTTGATGCCCATTATAAAGTTTTTCTTTATTGAAATCCACCTATTCATGTGTGTATAAAACAGGCATTCGTTGCAGTAAATTTCACATATTTCAGTTGATATATTTTTGGGATATTAACAAGTTTTACAGCTCCTTTAATGAAGCGTTTAATTTTACTCTATTTTACCGATTCTTGACCATTGATTTTTAATGCAGTGTCTCGTATAGCCCTTGTTTTCCAGCTTCCAAAATAATGCGATGAAAAGTTGTCAAATCAACTGTTATCAATCCATTAAAGATTCATCAATAATGAGAGAACGTCAAGCTTAATGTCATATGATTTCTATGTTGTATGTCATCGAGCTAATGACATTATTTATTGAACGTCCCTCGTATATCGATGCCATGTTATCAATTTACAATACTAGAAATCATATTCATTCCTATGTTAATTCGATATTCCTCTTTTGAACTCGCAAAAATCACCACAGACTCTCACATGTCTTTTTCATGTTTGGATATTATACTAGAAAAAAGATGTTAATGAAATTAAAGGAAAATAATGTAAAATAACGCAACTTGCAGATAAACTTGAAGATTTCAACTTTTCTATCAGTTTCCTTTAGCTATATAACAATAAATAAGTATCATATACATATGGAATTTTGGTTTCCCCACTTGAATCGATATAAAAGAGCATGTACTAACAATTTCAAAAACGACTGAATAAGTTGATGATAAAAGGATACTAGTATCAACACTTTTTAAGTCAAGGGAAGATATTTATCCTACAGTCCAAACTATGATGTTGTTAATTAAAGAGTTGATATACTCTACAATACAAATTGTGGGACCATTATTTTCCCATTGAATTCGTTTGTGGAGCATAGTTGTCGACAGGGGATGCTTACTCTTTGGCATCTTATTCCATCTTTGATATTTTTCGGAGGACCATGTTTGCTCCGACTTTTTTTGTATTTTCCGACAGGATTTATGAGTTTATTCTTCTTTATCGTTGTGTTATATTGGTTACTAAATATATTTAAAGCTTTAATTTCAGTTTAATGCAAATCCTAACAAAATTTATCTAGGTTTCAAAATGTCCATGGTCTGTTTTGCATTTAGGATTACTGTAAATCACTTTTTATTAGCGAGAACTTTATTTTCGCGTAATTACGCGAGACAGTGTACTTCTCGCGTATTATAGTATTCCTTAAGATTATATAGAGCAATAACCACAATTGGTGAAAATTTTGTCTCGCTAATCAAGAGTCAATGACTATCTCGCGAAAATAAGGTGTCGCGAAAAATTAGTGATCTACAGTACCCTCTATTACCATATATAAGATCTTCCATTATCTCACTATATAAAATAGAAAATAGAATAGGCAATAGGCATGCTGATGTGCTGTTCACATTACATACAGCTCTGAACAAAAAAGTGAAATGGTTTTTATGCTTTTTTAAAGAATCATATTTAATTAAGGTCACCAGAATCTTACCTCGTTTTTCACTTATAATCAGTCGACGTATGTAAGGAGTCCATCTTGGAAGCTTTATATTACCATTTTCTTGGCGTTGCAGACTTTCTGTCCATTTATACCCAACACTATCTATTGTAAAAAAGAAAAACATTCAATTAAAATACATTAGCCATACATTAAATGAAAGAGAATAGTTAATTTGGTACCACCAATCGCGCACCTGCAGCATCACAAGGATACGTCACATTGCCGTCCTCTGTCTCTATCAGACACTCGCCTAGGCTATCCTCTGCAACAAAAGTATTTCTTAAATAATTATTACTTTTATTATAATTACACAAAAAACCAATAAAAGAAATATAAAATATAACAAGAGGCCCATGGGCCACATCGCTCACCTGAGAAGCTTTGACAATTCTGTCCTTTACTAGATTTACCTCTTGTAATACATATTGTGACCCCACCCTACCCCACTGATCATAATTTAGACAATTTGAAATCTACACTACCCCAGGATGCTTCCATATAAGTTTCAGCTTTTCTGGCCCAGTTGCTATTAAGAAGAAGATTTTCAAAGATTTTTCCTATGTATTTATATGTAAAACTTTGATTCCCCATTGTGGCCCCGCCCAATCCCCGGGGGTCATGATTTGTATAATTTAAAATCTTTACTATCCCAGGATGCTTCCACATAAGTTTCAGCTTTTCTGGCACAGTGGTTCTTGAGAAGAAGATTTTCAAAGATTTTTCCTATATATTTCTATGTAAAACTTTGATTCCCCATTGTGGCCCCGCCCAATCCCCGGGGGTTATGATCTGAACAATTTAGAATCTACACTACCCCAGGATGTTTCCACATAAGTTTCAGCTTTTCAGGCACAGTGGTTCTTGAGAAGAAGATTTTCAAAGATTTTTCCTATATATTTCTTTGTAAAACTTTGATTCCCCATTGTGGCCCCGCCCAATCCCCGGGGGTTATGATTTGAACAATTTAGAATCTACACTACCCCAGGATGCTTCCACATAAGTTTCAGCTTTTCTGGCCCAGTGGTTCTTGAGAAGAAGATTTTCAAAGATGTTTCCTATATATTTCTATGTAAAACTTTGATTCCCCATTGTGGCCCCGCCCAATCCCCGGGGGTTATGATTTGAACAATTTAAAATCTTCACTATCCCTGGATGCTTCCACATAAGTTTCAGCTTTTCTGGCACAGTGGTTCTTGAGAAGAAGATTTTCAAAGATTTTTCCTATATATTTCTATGTAAAACTTTGATTCCCCATTGTGGCCCCGCCCAATCCCCGGGGGTTATGATTTGAACAATTTAGAATCTACACTACCCCAGGATGTTTCCACATAAGTTTCAGCTTTTCAGGCACAGTGGTTCTTGAGAAGAAGATTTTCAAAGAGTTTTCCTATATATTTCTTTGTAAAACTTTGATTCCCCATTGTGGCCCCGACCAATCCCCGGGGGTTATGATTTGAACAATTTAGAATCTACACTACCCCAGGATGCTTCCACATAAGTTTCAGCTTTTCTGGCTTAGTGGTTCTTGAGAAGAAGATTTTTTAATGACCCCACCCTATTTTTGTCTTTTCTTGATTATCTCCCCTTGCGAGGGGATATGTCCCTTCCTTTTAATAATTAAAATTCCCCTTCACCCAAGGATGCTTTGTACCAAGTTTGGTCAAAATTGGCCCAGTGGTTCTTGAGAAGAAGTCGAAAATGTGAAAAGTTTACGGACGGACAGACGGACGGACGGACGGACGGACGACGGACACAATGTGATCAGAAAAGCTCACTTGAGCCTTCGGCTCAGGTGAGCTAAAAATGTTTAATGCTCCAAGCATTCAAATAAAACAAAGTTATTATTTATGCTCGCAGCCATTGGCAACAGTAAGCAAATATTACTTTCCAATAAAGGTTAAAATTTTAAAAGTATGATTAATAATAGAATACCAACTTCACCTATATATGTGACATCATTCATTTTTCTATACATGGCGATTCCATCGTAACTCCCTGCTCGCCCAGCATCATATTTGGGTCCAACTAAATCTTTGAAAAAGTTTTCAGAACTCTGAAGTTTGCAGGTCGTGTTTGGAACAGCACCCTTTTCCGTTTCCTCATTCTCTCTGCAAAAGCAATGCGTTTCCTACAACAATAATTAGAAAACTACATTCAACCTTCTTTTAAGTATAAGGATGGTGTTTTACAAAAAATGAAAGGTTTAAATATTCTCTCATCGTTTGCTTTTTCTTCAATGCGTTTCAGTATCACGGTAGATTAGTCGCTAGAGCGCCCGCTCCGTGTTCGGAAGGTAGTGAGTTCTAATCTCATTCGCGACTGAACCAAGTCGATAAAAATATGTAGCAACTGTTTCTTCACAATTTGCTGGGCACCTTGAAGTGAATGCTGCGGGTCCTTCGGATGATACCTTATAAACTGAGGTCCCGTATCACGGTAGAAGCTGGCACGATAAGGATCCCTCACTGTTCAATGGCCCTGAGTGCTAGGTAAAGGTCAAACTTTTAAACCCTTCACCGCTATATGGATACGTATCTAAATGGGTAAAATATTCTAAAATGGGACGTAAAACAACATATTATCAATCTAATAATGTCTTTGAAATGTAAAAAAAAATGGTATATTGTAAAACTTAATTCTTCTTGGTTCTCAAGATAGCGAAAGCGGTACTTGACTCATTGATCGGAAGGTCCTTAGTTTAAACTTCAGCTGCGACTGACCTACTTCGGTTGCTCGCCAAAGGCAAAGTACATAAAATATAAGGAGAAGAATATGGAGATAATGTACAGTATTCAATGTCAAAGTCCATAAAATAATACAAAATATGATCAGAGCAAACATGGACCTCCGAAACAGAGGTGGGATCAGGTGCCATGAAGGAGTGAGCATACGCTGCTGACCGGTCACACCAACCGTGTGCTGCTTGTCATGATCGAGAAATAACGGGAAAATCCGTCGTCAATTCAGTGTATAAATAATGGACTAACAATTAGTATTAAAAACTGCAGTCAGCATTTGTCCTAATGATAAAGTGTATTTGCTGACAAGGTCATTGTATCGACCAAAGAATTTACGAAATGAGGACTTTAAACGAGACTGTTGACAAATAATAATACAAAATTGGAGAAGAGCAAAAGTCTGGCAAACGTTCAGTTTTCATCAGTGATATGGAATTAATCTGAAAAGACAGAAGTTCAAGAGCACCTACAAATAAGGTTTGAAATTACCCATTATGGTATGAGAGTGAAATGACCTGCCGATATTGTAAATTACTGAATAAATCATATAGTATACATAAAACACGAATTTTCAACGAAAAACGTTCATCTTTAAAGTCCTTCTTTATATCTTGTGTTGCGAGAAAATTTATATAAGACAAATACAACAAGTACCGGTGAAGTACCGGTGAAATAAAACAAATATTTAAGTCATTACTGCTATTCTATAGTGAAATATTCCGTAAATTGAATGATTGTTAAAATAAAATACACAATATGAGGAAGAAAATCAATAATGAAATACTGTCTCTTATTACTAGTATACATTTGGACAACCTGGTCCGATTCAATGATAAAAGTTTTCTCAACATCGATTGGATAAAAAGTGGGATTTTATACATTAAGGACCTGTTTGAAAGAAAACGGAAATTTCCATGACATCAGTTATTTTTATAATATTCTTGTAAACAAATCAAACTTAATCAGTTAGTGAATACAATATTCTTAAAAAAAAGAAAAAAGAAGGTTATAAAGACAACTTATACAAAAATATCACAATGTTTCAAAATGAGCCTTTATAAACATGAAAAAAATCAAATGATGATTTTGTTAGAAAATAAACAAAGATGACCGATAAACCTGATAAGTTACTTAGCAAAATGATATATGATATGTTTCTTTTAAAAAAAAAATCTTTTTAAACCTTGCTCTGAGAAATTTTGATCGAGAAGCTTTAACATTGAGGAAAACCAGACATACATCTATCAATCAAACAACTAAACCAAAAGGCCAATGGGCCTTATAGGTCACCTGAGCATCATACAACAACGTTCCAGTCATTGAATTTGGTCCATGTTTTAAGCTTTATACTTGTCAAAATTTCTAAGTCCCCACTTTTCTTTTTTCGAAAAGTTCAAAACCTTAACATTAATGTACTAGTTGTTTACAATTTTGTCTTTCATTTGCAATACTTTCCTGTCAAGGCCAAAAAAAATGTAATCGAATGTGTAATTACTCGACCGTGACCGTTTTTGTTAAAAAGCATAAAGTTCGAGTTCCATATGTTTTTCGGGTGTATTCTTCATGTTTTTTTTTACTTACATGTGTTCTCCATCTTTAATTGATTGCGAAAAACAGAAAAAAAGTTTGATTAAAATGCGGTGTATGTCAACAAAACAATGTGAAAGTGAAGTTAAAATAGCCCAAGCTGGTCGTAGTGAACGACAGTTATGTTTCCTTTCACTGTATGACATTATTTTACTTAAAACCTTCATAATTATCACCAGAAAAACCTACAAAGCATACCTTAATTCCTTTTAATCATTAGAAATCGCTAGATTTTCAACAAACACAACAAAATCATCCTAGAGTTTATCCGGAAAAATCAATAGAACCGGAACCGGAAGTGCCCTCCCCTCATTGTCTAACTGGAGGACTGGGGTACACATGTAATAAGACATTATGTAACTTTTGTTAGCTTGGCACAGGCACTTTCGGTAAGCCCCCTTATCATCCTAATCTCAACCCTTACTAACACGTATGGAAGAAGATATACCGGAGTTTGAGACAGCTTTTTCAGCAGCAGAACCTAGCGGAACTAGAGGACGACCTATCTCCACATGGAAAAACATTCAATAAAAGAATTTTTCTTAAATAGTGTGAACTCTTTGAGGAACGGTTGTCTTGCTGTGAATTCGTTTAAATGGAGGATAATGCAGTATTTAACGTTGTGAATTTTTAATTCTAGGGTGCCATAACATTTCTGCATATTGTGTTAAAGTGCTTCAATAAGATAAATTAAGTGAGAAAAAATTGTATTGTTACTTTTTTATCCTGTATACTTATTAAATAATTCAATATAATAGCATTGTAAAACAAAAAATTGCCTGGGGACTTAGAAATTTTGACTAGTATATATGCTACATAATGGCATTTACAATTTTGAAAGAGGCACCGTTGCTCATCATAACTATACAATTAGCAATTGCTTAGTTTGGTTACTTAAAACTCATAGGCAGGGTAGGGGAACAAAAATGCATTTCAACTAATCAATAATATTAAGCAATACTGTAGATTCCTAAATATAAGCGTGGAATTAATGAAGCACCACACGCCAAATTAAATTACTCGCCTTTATTTTTATGGTGCTGAAATCTTATGTTGAAACTCTTGATCAACCGTCCATTCGCGAATTCTAATACTCGCGATTTGCTGTTAAAGAGTCCATTCGCGATACCGGGTATATAAAAATTACGCGCGAAAAATAAGGAATTTACAGTAATCAGTAGTGCCCCTACCACACATAAACCCCTGACCCTAGGTCCACACATTGCACCATTTTATTTATAATTTTATAAATTAGGCCTAATTCATTTTAAGTATACAAGTAGAGCCCTCCCCCCTCTATGGTACCCCTGGGTTCTTTAAATTCACAATTCTGGAAGAAGGACCCTTAAGCTTGCTCATCATAACTATCTAGGTAGTTCATCTGCTTAATACCTAGGAGGAGTAGAAGATTTTAAAAGAATTCATGCACTTTTACTATATAATCAATAGATCCCCGCCCTAACACCAGAAACCCTGACCCTGGGGCCATAAAATTCACAATTTTGGAAGATGCACTCTTGTCCATAATAACTATGTACTTAGTTTATTTAATATTCAGGAGCAAAGAAGAAGAGTTTGAAAGAAATAATGCATTTTCACAATATAATCTTTATAGTCCTGCCCTAGCACAAGAACCCCTGGACTCAGGGCCATGAATTTCATAATTTTGGATGAGGCAGCCTAATTTAACATAACTATATACTTATCTAATTTATCTTATGCCCAGGAGCAGAGAAGAAGACTTTCAAAGAAATAATGCATTTTCACTGTATAATCTATTTAGCCCCACCCTAGCACTAGAACCCCTTTTGGTAGAGGACTCAATGCTGATTACAATCATGCAAACAGTTTGTCTGCTTGATGTCCAGGAGCAAAGAAGAAGATTTTTAAAGATTGCATTAATTTAAGTGGGTTTGCCTCCACCCCTCAGGCCCCAGGGGGCAGGGACCATGAAATTTACAATTTTTGTTCCCCTTAACTCATAGATGCTTTATGCCAAAATTGGTTGAAATCGGTTGAGTGGTTGCAGAGAAGAAGCTGAAAATGTTCAAATGTTAACGCACAACGCACGACGACGGACGAAATAGATAGCAATAGGTCACTTGAATTTACTCTGAATTTAAGATAAACAATTAGCAGAATTCAATCAAAAGCTATTACAAAATCTACTTAATAAAAAAAACTATGTTCACAAATGGAATAAGAATTTATCGATTAAATGTCCGTTTTGTGAATCACTTGAAGATAAAATCTATGAATTTACAACCTTGACATTTGACCTCAAAATTAAAAGGGTCCTCTTTATGCCAAAGAGAGTTGTGGTATAAAATATTATTGCAAAACCACAAAGGTTTACTAGTATCGTGTGTAAATGAAACTGTTAAAACAGACTTTTTTTTTTTAATTTATGACCTTTTGACCTCAAAATCAATTACATTATAAGGACTTATTGTGTAAATATTTCATTGCAAAAGCTCAAAGGCTTCTCGAAATATCGCGTCGAAAAGAAAGCGTTACGCACAGACAGAACTTGACTACAGACGGAGGGAAAGGCAAGTCGAAATTAATATCCCCGCTTTCAGCGTTCGACAAAAACTAGAACAGGAGCATGAAGAGTGGGATTTCTAACTTTGAATGAATGATCGGGTAGAAATGTGCATGCTTACATTTATGCCGAATTCCTTGTAGTTCTCGTTCCAGTCTTCACATATTTGATGACATTCAGTGACTGGACCAATGCTTGAACTGACCGTCAATTTTCCACTGAATGAAGTAAGATAGTGATACAGGAAGCATCCTGAAAAAAAGCTTAGATTAACATATGAAAAAACCAATCTTTTCTATGAATAACATAATAAAAATATATCCTCGTCATTATAGCTCAATTAATTACAGAATTTTTCATTCAACATAGAAAAAAAAGCTTAGATTAACATATGAAAAAACCAATCTTTTCTATGAATAACATAATAAAAATATATCCTCGTCATTATAGCTCAATTAATTACAGGATTTTTCATTCAACATAGAAACTTATATTGGGATGTACAGTCATTACAAATTTACATAAACGTGCAAAACTTTTATTTGTTTTATAATGTATTCCTGTTAATTCAACATATGAAAGAGAGAGAGAGAGTAACTGAAATGTTAACATAGATAATTTTTTAATGCGATTTTATTCAAAATATAATTTTTAAATATGCTTTAAACATGTAAATGTACGGAATTTCAAACTTATTCTTGACGGTAGCCTAGTGGTAGAGCGTTCGCTTCGTGATCGGGAGGCTCGGGTTCGATTCTCGTTCTCGGCGCCACGTCAAACCTAAGACGTAAACATAGGTAGTGATTGTTCCTTTGCTAAACGCTCGGCATAAGAAGTGAAAGTTACGGGTCTTTCGGAGATGACCTTAAAAAACGTAGGTCCCGTGTCACGGTAGGCGTTGAAAAGATAAAGAACCTTCACTGCACAATGGCCCTAAGTGCCGAGTGTAGGTCTAAATTTGAATCCCTTCATCGGCAAACGGTGACGTCTCCATGTGAGTGAAAAATTCTCGCGTGGGAGGTTAAACAACATACAATCATTCAATTAATCAATCTTTCTTTCTCATGATTGAACAACTTTAAATAGAAATGGTAATCTGAGTTTAAAATGTATCAGGAAGTATATTTTTTGCGGAACGGCGGCATATGAAAATATATTTTATGCTGCTATTGAAATAAATTAATATTTAAAGTAATTTTCTCTATGAAATTCATTTGAAATTTACGACGTTCAAATCTCCATAACATACGTGAAACTTTGTCATCGCGCGGTAGAATACACAATAAGAACTACATGTACATGCATTTTCAATATCTAGGAACACCAAATGAAATGTATATAGTTTTTCACTCAATTTTAAATTTCAAAATTGAAAAAAAACTGTTAAATTTAACGTAAAATACAAACAAATGTGCGTTAAAAATTAATTTGCTATTTTTCTTGCAATGTTCATTTGCGTTATGTAACTTTTCAACGTCACAAACGTTTGTTACGTCTATTAAAACTCCCGTACCGAAGAGTGCTAAATTCACTTTAAACATGAAAGAAGTAAACAATTTTGAAGAGGAAAAATTAGAGAAAATCAATGTAAAAATAATCGACCGGTCACGGTAGCCTAGTGGTAGAGCGTTCACTACGATAAAAGATCGCGGTTAGTTCTCCCTCGCGAATTAAGGTTAGACTACAGTACCTAATAGTTTAAACCACGGTGTGAATTCTCCCGTGGCCCCTATCCAGTGAATGTCATGGGGCTCGGATCTCTGCGCCTGAGGTCTGCGGTGACCAAAGATGGGGACTCCTAGGATAGAGACACCAACACTGAGGGGTGTGTTGAACACAGCTAGGTTACAGCTGTCTGACGCTTCTGTCCAATTTTGTGTTGTCTCTTCCAAGCACAGACCTGTTGTAACAAACATTACTCTGTTTTATTCATAAATCAAGTAAATTTTGAAACTGGTTGACTTTTATACAAAATTCAGAATATATACTTTCATTAATCGTATTTCATTGACATATAACGATAACATATGAAAAATTATAAAAAAAAAAAGTTTGTTTTTTCTATTGTCTGCTTGTTTAACTTCCCTTTAAGATTTTTTCTTCTACTCATTTTAATTAAGACACAACCGAATAACGAAGGAGGACTACAAATTTATACCTCTACAGGCTTTTTACCCTAGTTTATCTTATGGTCTCATGGACCAAAATGTTGATGCAGTTGTAAACCTAACATCAGTATCAAAATATCAAGTTCGATAAAAGTATCTTGACTGGTTTATTTAAAACTGAGCAAAACACTAATTTTAAAAAAGGAAAGATCAAGGTCAAAAAATGGTAATGCAAATGAAAACTAACATCAGTATCCATCAGCAGTTGAAGTTTGATTACATTATCTTAAATGGATTCTTTAAAACAGAGCTAAACACTTATTTAAGAAGGTTAAACAATGTTTAAAAAGCTTAATGTTTGAAAAGCATGCATGTATAATCATATGAAGTTCGAGTACACTTTCCATAATGGTTTCTTAAGATTGAGCTTACCACTAAAGAAGTGGGGAATTTAGGTTAAGGTAAAAAAAAATGTCTATTTGATAGCTCTTATCAATATTTATCAGCATTTGAAGTTTTATTTTAAAAAAATATCTTGAAGTTTCTTTGAAACTTAGCTTAACGCAAAGTGCAACAGAAGGAGAAAAGGATGGAAGGACGGAAGACAGACATAACAAACATGCCTCTGTCTTTTCCATGGCCCGGCATAAAATGCTTTGTAATCGATTAGATGTTACGTGTCTAAGCTGTGTTTGCAGCATTTCATACAATTAACCATGCAGTGATGGACTTGATACTTGTAAAACCAGAAGTATCTGATGAGACTGTAGCTATCCTGGTCTGTACGTGTTTAAAAGAAAAGTAGCACTTGGATTTGACTTTTCAACAGGCAGAAATAAATAGAATTATGTATCTTTGTGTAGTCTACTTGTGTGCCAAATTATATTGAAATCGGACCAAAACTGTCGAAGGAGTAGCGTTTTCAAGGAATTCACAGAAATTTTTATTTTTAGTAACCATGGCAACACCGTTCATCGAAATTAAAAGCCGATGCACTAAATTATGTTTCTTTGTGTAGTCTACTAGTGTACCAAGTTATATTCAAATCAGACTAAAACTGTAGGAAGAGTAGCGTTTTAAAGGAATTTCACAGAAATTTCTATTTTTTAAAGTAAACATGGGAACAGTGTTCATCAAAATTAAAAACCGATGCACTATATTTTGTATCTTAGTATAGTCTATTTGTGTGCCAAGTTACATTCAAATCAGATTAAAACTGTAGGAGGAGTAGCGTTTTAAAGGAATTCACAGAAATTTCTATTTTTTTGTAACAATGGCAACACCATTCATCGAAATTAAAAACCGATGTACAAATTAATGTATCTAAGTGTATTCTACTTGTGTGCCATGTTATATTGAAATCAGACCAAAACTGTAGGAGGAGTAGCGTTTTCAAGGAATTTCACAGAAATTTCTATTTTTAGTAAACATGGCAACACCGTTCATCGAAATCAAAAACCGATTCACTAAATTATGTATCTAAATGTAGTCTATTTATCTGCCAAGTTATATTCAAATCACACCAAAAATTTAGGAGGAGTAGCGTTTTTAAAGAATTTCACAGAAATTTCTGTTTTTAGTAACCATGGCAACACCGTTCATCGAAATCAAAAAAGCGATGCACTAAATTATGTATCTTAGTGAATTCTACTAGTGTGCTATGTTATATTCAAATCAGATGAAAACTGTAGGAGGAGTTGCGTTTTCAAGGAATTTCACAGAAATTTCTATTTTTAGTAAACATGGCAACACCATTCATCGATTTAAAAAAAAAAAGATGCAATATTTTGTGTATCTTAGTGTAGTCTACTTTTGTTTATTTAAAATATTATATTAAAATCAGACAAAACCTGTAGGAGGAGTAGCATTTCGAAAAACTGTTTCAGACAAACGGACAGCTAGACGGAGGGACGACGGACACATTAATCGCATAAGCTCTTCTGGTCTCTGACCAGTAGAGCTAAAAACAACGAATAATCTATGCGACATTGGTCTATTGAAATTCTCTCCAACATAATAGTAATATACTTTATTAAACGAATGGCTCGAACATGGTAGGTAATACCAAATCTGATAAATTGTTGGAATTGCGTTAAGGTATTTGATAACATGAGGAAAAACATGATGGGTTTTCAAGTTCATTTTAAAACATCTCAATCTGTATTAGGCACAGGCACCTGACGTTACTTATTTTTCTTTTAATAAAAAATATACCCTTACCTTATAATAACTATAAAGTAAAGGAATATTTTTTAAAAAGAAAAATAAGTAACCTTAATAGGTGCCTGTGGTATTAGGGTTCTGTTTTCCGATAAAACATATCCATAATATAAGACAGTTGTAAGATATTGTACAAAACGATACTCGATCCCCTTTGTCAGCTGTTTTTCGCCTTGAAAGAATACGCACGTCTCACAGCATAGTATGTAAAGTTGCATTTGGGGGTTTATTTGATGAGCTTGAGCAGTGAGCTATGCAAAACATTTCATTGTGCATGTATACCACTAACAGATAGTTGAATCGAAAGAGGAAAGAGAAATGTTGACAGTGCGAATCAATTATTTTATTTATCTCTTCCATGGACCTCCATATTCGTTGTTCATATGTTGGGGCCCTTTTTGTAGATACTAATGTACGAGCCACGCCCAGTGCCTTTATAATAAGGTTCAAAAGGTACATAAACATTTTATCAGCCCTTGTCTTTGTTAAACATTACTAAACGAACGAGGAACTTAAGAGAGTTACTGTTTAGAAATGTAATATAAAAACTTTACCTTTGACTACAGTTTCACATGAGGAGTGCGATTGATGACACAGAATCAAAACAAGGAAAACTCCCCATAAAACACAGTCCCCCATTGTGAATCTCAGTTTAAATGTCCTCCTTGAGACCCTCAAGTTAACACAGTTTAAATGGGGGAATTCCACACCATGTCGACCTAGTTTTAAACAGTCATCAAGCTATAAATATCATCAGTGACAATAGTTTCCGCTATTTTGAGCAACCTGTTTCCTCGTTATAAAAAATAATTTTGAAAACTTTGAGTTTGTATGTAATAGAAATTAATTAAGTGAAAAAAAAAGATTACTGAGAAGAACAGAAAAAAAAAATTTAAGTTTAACTTAATATCTTTTTTTTTTAATCTAAATATAACATAATGATATATGTTAAGATCATAAGAAAATAAGAAAAATAAAGATAGATATCCTCATTTTCA